GCTTTTGTCTTATGGTATTTCATATCGTACAAGGTAGATAAATCACCATAATATGTTACAGATCTGTTGGAAGCAAACAAACACAGAACACGGTTAACACAGTGCCACAATCCATTGAGTAGTAAACAATAACGTTAAGGCATCTTGTCTGTGAACACTCATTTTAAAGCGACACTCATGGGCAGGGGAGGGACTTTTAATTTGTTACATCCTGGATTCAAATTTTATTTCAGCTTTACCTAAAATTTAAAAGGATTGATTTTGTGCATGCCACCCACACACACCCACACACACCCACACACACACACTCACTTTTGAGTTCACTGTAATGAAAGTGTGTTAATATTTCTCTGAGTTGGCACAGACCACTGAAATGTAACAGCACAGTAGTTGTGCGAGTTCAGATGCACAGTCCAGTACTGGACGCAATCACTGGAGTGGACTTGTCCCTTCTAAATAATCAAAATGAAATGAGATAACTTCTGTAATGAACTGGCACTATATAAATTAAGTTGAAATTAATAAAATATTCAAACTGACATACAGAATCTAATATACCATCTTTAAGAAACTTCTTTTAAACCTGTATGTCACATCTTAGAAAGACAACCTGTTTTCACAGTGCCGAGTTTGTCTTCAAAGGAAGAGCCATACTAACACTGAAGACGAACTTAGCCCAAAATAGCAACACAGTTGAATATTAGCACTGCATAAATTTACTCTGGTGCATATTGCTAATTTATTTGCATTCCATGACTGTGGGATGTGGAAGTAAACATAACACGCTGAAATAGCTACAAAAATTCAGAACAACAGTAGCTGCAGGGAAGACTGAGTAAGTTGGGGATTTGAAGCTTTAGAATTCATTTGAGTCAGAAAGGTGCAGATATCTAACCATTAAAACAGTTGAAAAATAAAAACAAGGTTGCGTCATCCTATAACTTGAACCATCATGCAATGCTGGCTGCTGTGTGAAGAATTCAACTAGTTCAACCATCATGTCACACTGCACAGTCAAAAGCAAATATATATATTTTGTTTCCAAAAACGTGTCCTTTTCTCCATATGAATTCTCCAAAATGAATCTCTGTAGAATGTCTGCTGACAGCATTATAACTATGACATGTAGAACAGGACTCCATAGAACAACTTGATGAATCTCAAGTCGAAAAACAAGCCTTTAACAGTTCCAGTCCCAGGGTAGCTTCATGCCCAGATTTAAACTGTATTTTTTCCCCCTTTTTCAAAAAAAGATTGTTTGGGGCCATGGCCTCCCAAGTAGACACCATCTACTCTTTGTTCTCTCACTCTGTTTTCACTGCCTGTCTCCATCTCAGTCACTGCTCACTTGTGCTCACAGTGTATTACAGTTATTTTGTAAAAGTGATAGAAATGCATCTCAATGACTACATAAACATGAGAAAAATGTGTTGTATAATATATTTATACAATTAGGACATTAATTATGCTAGTTTTTTGTCTAGTTGTTAAATTGAGCCTTGAAGTTCCTCTGTAATTACCACAAAACATACACATACACACACACACACACACACACACACACACACACACACACCTCTGTGGCAATTCCAGTTTGAATTGAATCAGGTCAGTTTATATTGAACAGCCCAGGGACATAATGCTAAATCTATCCTGGGCACAGTGGGCAGTACCTGCTTTTCCTCTCCCCCTCTCTGTTTTGGTCTTGTCCTGTATATCTTCCCTTTCCACATCTGAGCTTTGATTGATTGTTTTCATTTTCATCTGTCTCAGCATAGAAAGTAAACACATGGTCAATTGATTTTTACAAGTAAATGTTAGGATGATGCTCTTATAGACACTCCTATAAAGTATATAGGAGTACCTAATTTTTACATGAATTCGAAATCTTTACACAAACTGGATTGAAAGAAGCATTTAAACCCTTGTTTATCAGTCTACCAGTGGACGGATGGAATTAACGTTAATTCACTCAAGTGAAACAAACGAGCTGTCATCATGATGGATGGCCACTGTTTAACTTAGCAAGGCTGCACAGCAGAGACTCATCAGATGATGTCTGGGGATGAATGGCATTGAACTACAAGCAGCCCACTAGTAAAACCTTCTAGTCACCTGTATCAAGCTTTGCATGGATTCACCTGATTGTGGGTTTTCCTCAAGTTGTTGACATGATAAGATCCAAGATAAGACCCAAAGTGTTCAATATTGTAAAGTTTTTGTAGTAACGACAAGATCATCCACTTCATCACCCACACACAAGCAACGACGGTAGTCAGTAACCATGGCATATGTGACAGTCCTTTCTAATTCACTGGATGTTTTATGCTCTTGAGCTGCACAGTCAACTGCTCTTACTCAGCATATTGTACTGTAGAACTACTACTGAGTAATGAAGTGTGTCAAACCGGGCAGCAGACATCTTTATACATGATCCATTTGCAGGCAGGGTGCTAATCAATTAGCAGAAGAGGGTCTAGGTACCAAGGAAAAAAATCCAACTGTTTGCCAAAAGATATATGTGCATGTCACCCAGCTAAATAGAATGATATATTGTATTGGATAAACATAAAATAAGAGTCCACTTCCATTAGCTTTGTTTTTTTTCCAAAGTGTGTTAAACTGCATAGCCAATTGATTATTTTGAGCATTCTGCTAACATGGTAGTGTTGCTATTCTGCAATTCTACTTTTTTAATCTTCCAGTATTCACTTAGTTTGGTAAATAATTTAACGCATTGCATTTGGATTTGAAATCTTAATGGAATGGATTTAAAATCAGCCAAGCTTAGAAGATCAGTCTGTCACCTGTTTTGCTGCATACTTCAACATGTTAGCTTTTTAAGGACTTGTTTGCACTGGAAGCAATCTTCACAATTAATTGCTGATTTGATTTCAGTGTATTTGCACAAACAAGTGAAGAGATGATGAAAACCCATTGATTAAAGATATGGGTTGTGTCTCAGGACTTTTGATGAGCCACCTAGGGGCACAGGTAAAGCTTTAGAAAGATACCCAAAGACCTAGGCCGATTTGTATAAAGATGTGTATAAGTGCAAAATTAAATAGGTGAAGCAAAGACAACATGGGGCAGCTATATTTCCTTTTGAACTGTTTAGGTTTTAAGCACCCCTGGAGGAAATGATGAAAAGTATCAAGAGCAAAACACACAGAATCATACACCAACAACAGATGTGCAAGCTGAGCCAGAAGGCATAGCAGAGGAGGCCTATTGTGTGGCTCCCCTTAAGGAGTAAACATCACATTTCCAGAGTAGAATAACTACAATCAAGACAAGTAATCATCTGTGAACAGTACAATGCTGTGAAAGGTAGCTTAAATTAGAAGTAAAAATAAACAAAATGAGTTGGCAGTACATTGTGTTTGTGTCCATGTGCACTGCAGGCTGAATGTGAAAATGATAAAGCAAGTCCGACGTTGTGAAATGGCTCCAAAAACTCCAATGGGGGCTGCTGGTTAGATTCAAACCAGTAAGAACTTGTATGTAGTGTGTGCCAGGTGAGCTAAACCTTGCCTCTTTATTGGCTTTAATTTTATTCAGCCCCACTTCCTTGTACATAGTCTGTTGTAAAATATGAACATGTTTTTACTACTTTACTGAACACTTACAACAGGTATTCATTTCACCTGAGACTTTGAGTCAATGATTCTCCGACTGGGTCTCAGGGTTGCATCCTGTCAGTGATTTGATTTGTCTTGTTCACAAATTGCTGTAAGACCTATTGTAAAACCATAAAAAAAATTCCCATGAATGTTGCTCAATGGGTCCTGCTAGCTTTGGACTTGCCAAACAGGACCCGTTGTAGCAACTCAAAAATAAATCTGCTGCGGTTAGCTTTCTATTCGGTGTGCATTTCATGCTTGCAAGTTTCTCAAATGCGAGAACAAAGTGGACAAAATAAAAATGAACCATTTACTGACTTTCTCAGTTGCCTATAACATGTATATAGCTTTCTATCTGAGCCATTTATGTAGGCTGTGATGTTTATACTCTTCTTAGTGACTTGCCAAGTGATTCTGTACCCTACTTACAACAGTGCAGCTAACAAAATGAGTGTCTAAAAAAAACCACAACAATCAGCTCCCAGCACAATACAGAGTCCAAGATAAACTCCACATAAGGGTAAAAGTAACTAAAAAGTTATGTGCTGAACCTTTGCAGGCCAAACGAGAATCAGATGTACTCCGGGCAAAAACAGGTCAACAGAAGATCAAAACCAACCCTGAATTGGATTTCATCTTATGGACAGGTAAGCTAACATTACTGCCAACAAAAATTATATATACAAAGTATATTCTGTGTTTTAGTTGGCTGATCTGGCATCATTTTCTTAACAGTCAATTCACATTTATTGCCTTTATACTTTTGCTCAGGTATACAGCTTCTTCGCCGTTTCAGTCGCCATATAATACACAGTAACAAAATAGAGGTGCAGGGTAACAATGCAGTTGAAGACAGTTCAGAACAGTGAAGAATTGATGGTGATAGTATGTAGCTGAACATATGTGTGTGATAAAATGAATGGAGCCAAAGGTTAAAAAAAAAAAAAAAGAGAACAGTCATTTTCAGGCATTCTAAATATTGTAGTATTTTTCTTCAGTAATCTCATTTGTAATATTTAGTCTTGCTCACTAACCACTTAACACATCATTCAATAAATTTAGCTACTGTACGCTGACATTGCTGCCCCAGAATGCTTGCTCATGACTTCGAGCATGCATACAGGCACACGCTTGGAAAGATAGGTGCAATCTGAAACCTCACCAATAGAGGCCACTCAAAACCAGAGTCAGGCATGTTAATGTAATTTTACTACTTTTCCCAGTAATTCTACATTTAATTTATTGAACCGTCTGCTGAAGCAGCAGAGTGTGAAACTTAAAGAAACTCATCAGGAGAGTGTGGTTTTAAGCAACATTTAAGGTTTTGTAAAAACACTGAATTCAGCTCTTCCTATTGCATGTGCAGAAAAACAGTAGTTTAAAAGTCAGAATTGACTTGTTTTATTGAGCTGGTAACATTGAGACAAAGTTTTTCTATCATCTTGCTGCTGTTATGAAAGAATATACAACTAAACAAATCACATCTAAAGTTGAGAGAGACTTCTTTGTGGGGGTATTGAAAGTAATACAATAATGTAATGAGTAACACAACTAGTTACTTTTAGCACCCAGTAATATTGTTGCTTTTGAGTAATACTAGTAACTCATTACAATTTCTGCTCAAAGCCACACAGGGCCCCTTTAAATTACTCACTGACCCTTGTGAATGTTTCCTTTGTTTTTAAGAATTAGTTACCAAAAAATTGGTATTACAGTACAGTGGACCAGGAAGGGGCAACTGAATTAAAACCAAACTACACCACCTAGGGAATTGCACCCCAGGAAACACCATTTAAACCTTGATTAGTTGGAGAATAAAGAGAAAGGCACACAGGAACATTACTTATGAGGCAGAGATGTGATTCATTAAAAATAGTGTATATACTAAGCAAAAAAAAAAAACGAAAAAAAAACCCACCACTATCTGGGACTAGAACTACTGAAAAGGAAATGTGAACCAGTGCAGCACTAAAACCTCAAAAAATGGTGCAGTCTATATAGTACCCCCATGCAATTACTCACATGCAGAAGAGTTAAGGGATCCTGCCATGGGTGCCAAGCCTCCCAACAAGATGACACCCTGCTCAAAACAAACTGAATACAAAAGAAAAAAAAAAAATTTACTTTAGTAACCAAGTAACCTAAAATAACCAAGTAACCCAGTTGGCTGAACAAGGGCAGCCTATATTGCCTAAAACCCACAAGAATATACAACAAATCACATCTAAACTAAAGTAATACAAATAACATACAAGACAAAAGGAAAAAGGTGGAACTAAACCAAACATTAAACTAGGCAAAACAGCAGTGGTCTAAAACAAGGAGGAAGCTGGAAAAGCAAGGGAAACAATTAGCCAGGCTGAACCTTATTGCATTAAAGATACATTTAAAACCATGCATCTACTCACCACCTCTGAGATGGCTCATGAACATACAACAATCACTGGTCACAGGTCAGGAGAAAAGGAGGTTCCTAAAAGAACAGGCAAGCAACATAATCAACTGTTAAGGAGAAATAAATGTGCATGAAACTATCCCTCTCACATACTTGGGCCACAAACACCAACCACACGCACAGCAGGGACAGATCAGGGATCAGCATGCAAGCAAACACAGGTGTCTTATATAGCCTAAGCCTAATCAGGAGGTTGGCCAGGGGAGGAGTTAAGTCAAGGCTGCATTCACCACCACCACACATTAACCTGCACATGGGGAATCTTTCCCCACCACAGTATCACAGAGTTACATTATTTTGACACTGAGGCAGACAGATTATGGAAGACAGTTTAAAATGTATCTTACAAAATATCACATCAGATAGAGAACATTACTGAGGGGTGGATCTGTGGATGGATCCCACCTGTCAGTTTTAGGAGGTGATTCGTGTAAAAGACCAAATGGGTTTCAACTTCTCTAAAAGGCTAGCTTTATTCAAATACATTTCTGAATCTTAAACTAAAGTATGCTGTTACAATTTGACAGTTCTGAAATTCATTTCATAGTCATGGCTGTTTCAACAACGGGAGGCACTGCGGTTTAATACATTTTATCAATATAAAATGAAAATGACTAATGTATTACCAAATACTCCCACTTGGGTGTTCTTTTATTTTCATATAATCACTATGGTTATCATGTTTCCATAGCTGTTCTTATTATACAGAAAGTTCTCAAATACTAGGTCAAACATCATTAAATTTTATATCATTTCTCTATGGTACACGTGTCGGAGGCTCAGTTCTCAATTCATCACAGATGTCTTACTGCGAGGGTTATTCCCTCAGTGGATTTAGTTTCTCTACCCCTATTCTCTCCGTAATTACAAAAAGTCTTAAATAAACCCTTTCATTAATCATTTTCTGTCAGCCATGCACCCATACTGTACAGTGAAGTGTGTCATGGCACCAGTCCCAAACGCAGCAGAGAATCCACAGAAAAGTGGAAATGTGATTTCGGTCCTCGCTGTGAGGTTCAAGGTTGAATCTGTAACTTCTCTGTCACATACTGTCCACATAACATGAGTGATTTCATTAAATATTCAATGCAGTAAAAATACAGCTTTGGCATTTTACTTAAATCTCCACAAAGTGGAGCAAGGTATAATTGCATTACTTCCTCAGGAATTAGAATGGGTTTATCACATAGCTCTTTGTGACTCATCTCTGGTTTGCAAGGAGAACACTTGGATATGCAGCACAACACGACCTTCTCTCTATTTCCTTTTCAAGGAGGTGCACAATCCCCAATGTACCACCCTACCCGTGGCCCTATACCATCACTGCTCCTCCAACCATCTTCAGAGACTTCTGCTTCATTCAAAATTAATGGGCGATGTATAAAAAGGTAAGGGAAAGCAGCCCCAGAGAGTGAGCTTAAAACAGGTTTGAAGAGTTGCATGGTGAGACAGACTCGTAATGTGAGAAAGGTATGAAAAGAGAATTAGACCGTGGTGCTGCATGGGCTAGATTCTGATTAGATCAGCTTCCACTTCAAGAATGAAAGGTAATCAGAATGGAGGCAGGAAGGTCAACCCACTCAACTCCCTGTTACCAGAGAGCGAATGGTCCCACCCGTCCTTGTCCGCTAAAGTAAATGCTCATATGATGATGTACAAAACTGTTTAAGTGTTTCTGTGCAGAGAGGAAAGAGGAATTGCCTTGTTTATAGCAATTATTATTATCTTGGTTCATGTGTGTTTATTACAGAGGTTGAGAGCAGCAATGATTACAGATTTGTTTTTGACAACCAACCTGCAAACATGTTTTAAAAGGCTTGTTAATTAATGTGTCGAGCAAGTTGCAAAATATTGATACTGAATGTATCAGTAAAAAGTAGGTCTGAACGATTAATTGCATTTGCGATATTATCGCGATGTAATAAAACAAAGGCTGCGATTACACTCTTGTAACTTACTAGTCTTGTAGTACTCTTAAGACCACTTTTTGATGGTCTCGACTCGACCACATTTGTACTTAGTCTTGTCTTGGTCTCAGGATTTTATTTCAAGACCAGTCAAGACGATAACTTTGGGAATAAATTGCTTTTGCATTGTCTGATTTATTTGTTTACATCCTAACTTTGATGGAAATGTTTTGCTTTGAAAGCAACCAATAACACTAATTAAACGTATTGTTCCCGTTAATGACTGTCCCTCCTTCCTGTGATGGTAAGCATGGAAAAGAAATGTTGAATAAAGACGCTTACGTAGATTTCAGCTCTTGGTGTTTGTATGTGGATGTCTTAGGAATAGGAATGTGGATCTTCCAGATCACTTTGAGAAGTACCTATGATCTCGTTTCACATTTTATTGTGTGTCATGTAATGTGGGGAACTGTTCTTGGTCTTGACTTGGTCTCAGCCCCTGAAAGTCTTAGTCTTGTCTCGGTCTCGACACTACATGACACCCAGGGGGAAAGCAGTCTGACGAAGTTGTTGCTTCGTCTACACGTTACGCTGTACCTTGCCATCTTGTTGTACAACGGCCTTAAGCTTGACAGAAGGTGGCACTACATAAACTTTTGTGTCAAACAGGGAATGAAAGTAGCACCCGCCACCCACCGGTAACTTGGTGGTGGTGAGTGTTGGGCTATCCGCTGACAGGAAAAAACAGAAACACAAGTGTAGTAAGGTAAGCGTATTGTGGTACTCGGCACTTGTGTCACACAAACAGCCACCAGTTCGAAAGAGGCCCGGTCTGTCCTGAGTTACAGTCTGGTTACAGCCAGTGCGCCGCTTATAAGCATCGCAGGCTGCGTGGGGAACTCCGGTATTGTCAGAGAATTACTTGTCTATTAAACATGAGAGGCGTCATTTAGTTTTATTTTCGTTGGCCAATTTTTGAATTGAACTAGTATTTTTTGTTTGCTTACTTGCAGGGATACAGAAAGATGGACTCCTAGGAGATCTGAACTGGGATAAGGATTCATTAATTGGTGCTTGAACTGTGGGGTTTGTATTGTGTGCTTACTGTATAAGACACTGTGGTGAACTTAGTTTTTCTTGTGGTCTGTCGGCAGGCCGACCTGATGATATTATATCATATTATTTGGTGCCATGACTTGCCTCTCAAATGATCTTTCTAATATTATTACTTCTTCTCCACCATTGCTCATAATAATAATTCAATAATTTCATCATAACACAGGTCTGACCCACAAGAAAGAACAGTTTATGTTTAATCTATCTAATATTGTGTTGGTCATACTATACACTGGTTTACTGCTTGTCTGTTTTGAATAATACAGAAGGTAAAGAGCTTAAAAATGAATCGCATATTAAATCGTAATCGCAATATTGGTAAAAAAAAAATCCCAATTAGATTATTTTCAAAATCTGTTCAGTTCTCTACAATATTTGCTTTTGCAATGTAAAATCTGTTCATAACCACTAAAGCATTATTTAACTTTTTATGGTTATGTATAGACACTTAGGGAAAGATCATGGTCCTGGTTTAATTCAGAAAAGGTCTGCGATGACTTGAAGCAAGCGGCATGTGGTGGTTAATCAACATTTAACTGAAACTAGTCTTTCCTGAACAGACACATTCCTACTTCTGACTCATCACATATTGACACTTGGTCAAGGCCCTTTGGTGTTGCTTTCTAACGCTCTGGGTACCCCTTTAGTGTCAATTATAGATATTTAAGGCTCTTCGGTCAAGTTAGCAATGCTTAGCAACAAAAGGAAAAAGATATGCAACGTCCGGTTAGACTTTCAAAATAAAGCGTTGGCTTTTTTTTTTGTGAAATGTTGCGATTTGGTTAGATTTACGCACAAAAAGTACTTGGTTAGGAAAAGATCACGGTTTGGGTTGAACTACATACATCAGTTAACATGTAAGTTAACTGATGTTACTTGCGTAACTTACACAATTTACATAACTCGCGTAACTTTAATAAAAATATGTAATATTGACTTTTTGTTTCAACCCCAGTCTCCTGGTTCAAAGTTGGGACTCTGGCCCTCCATCCAACCCAACCATGTCATTTTATTTTAAATATCATATATTCCCCCAGTGCGTTAAACTATGACGCTATAGGGATCCACAGTGCATTACAAACTGACGCCGATGGGTCTTGATCATGCGTCCATATATGACGAGTCGGGGTGTGAGAACAGGTTGCCTGAACCTTAATTAAGAGAGAACCCTGATCTTTGGTGTCTACATCCGCCCACCACTTCAGTCTTCTTCATTTTTAGTCTTTAGCAATTTGACCGTGTTGTGACATCACATGTAAACAGCATGTTGCATTCTGGGATCGCTGGGAGGTTAACAGGTCAATCTCCTGGTGTTACACCAGTAACAAAATGAAAGTCAACTGTTGTGAAGCACAGATGTACAAATGTATTTGGCAATACAAATGTGTAATTATATAAAAATAAGGGGACTGGGATGTAAGAACACTAAGAACACAACTTAGTTATCTTGCCATCTTGAGTAATAATAAATGATGTTCATATTTTTAACTATCACGTATTTTCATGATAACAATTTAGGTCACCGTTCATTATTTTAGGATGATGAGCATGTGTACATTACTGTCTTTTCATTTGGGTTACAGTCTCTAAATTCATTCAAACTCTCCATCCTCCCCTGGACTGCACTAGCTACAATTTCACTGCCATCATCTTCCTCGTATGTGTAAAACACTACTTAAACACTACAGCTCCTTCTGATTCTGATTCTGATGATGGACTTTGACACCACTGCACTATTAACCGCACCTTTCATCTAAGCAAACCATTGCACTACTGTAAATCATTCCCTAGACATAGACATTCCTACTGTACATGTACAGTACAGTATGTATACTGTATAATCCCCACAATAATCACATTTACACTATTGTACATATTGTATAGTTATTCATACCGTACTGCCATTGTCATAACCTGTTCATAGGCTGTATTTTCCCGTAGCAATAGATATTCATATATACATATAATTATATCATTCATACCTTGCACTTGTATAATAATGTTTCATATTCTATTTAATTACTGCTTAATCACTTGTGGTTAGATGATGTCTGCATTTCGT